AGAGTGTGTAAGCCAAGTTTCTTTCAAAATACCAGCCCTTCAATTTCATTCAAGAAAATAAGGCAAAGATCTGTTCTTCCACCTATTAAAATAAACGGGGTACTATTAAAGTAGCTTTATAGCAAACGCTGAGAAAGATACTACTTTAATGCGTAACTAAGCAAGAACAGCAGCTCTGACACCAAGTACTCACCTTAGCACACTGACGCTACAACCACACTGACCAGAGAACAGGATAAAACCACACCTACAAGCTAGTCTGGGCCCCAAAGCCCAGGAAGCTACAGTGTCAAGGAATTCAGTACAAGCAGTAAAGCACAGCAGACTGATAAACATTGAAAGTTACTTTTAGGATTACACTCCTACCAGGAACCAAGTTTAATCAGGCATTTGACCTATAGCTTACAATAGGGCTCATGAATAAAGCCAAGATATTAATCAGGCCAAGTGTTTTCACATGAACAACAGTGCGGGGACAAATGTCAGAAATGCTGTATTTTCTTCTGTTTGCATCCAGCCAGTTAATACTTTGCCAGAAAAGCAGAGATCAGATTCTGGACTTCAGCTTTATCATTTCCATATTTACTCTGCATTTAGTTATGCCTTAAATAACTCTTTAAGGATTTAAGTAAAGATTTGAAGATTTAAGTAAAAAATACTTGATTACATGAGATGGTATCAAGTTTAAACTTCAGCTTTTAGGGAACAACCAAAGAACGTGCTTCAAAGTCACAGAATAATTAAATTTAAAATGAAAACAACTTCTCATCTAAACAAATCCATCAATAGCTACTTGAATTCCTGCAATTTCTTTTTCTAGATATATAATACAAAATTTCCTACAGTTATTAAAAACAGCAAATTGAAATCACAGCATCTTGATTTCCCATTCTCCAGACACAGATTACAGAAGTAGTATGTGGCACACCTACCTTTAATCTAACAAAGTTTATTAGTTTAACGTATCCATAAAAATCAAGTCCTGAAAAGAAAAAGAGGAGAAGAAAAAAAAGGAGAGAAAGCTTGCATTACTGAAAACCCACATGCATTTTACAATTATATGAATACTAATTACTTCAATTGGCCGGCTTCCCCTTGGGGTGTACATCATTATCTTGTGCAGTCTTCCTATCTTAAATTTGCTGTCTACATTTTTCTTCTCCTCAGGACTAAACTATCAAATTTCTACCCTCAAGACAAATACTTTTACCACAAATTAACTATAGAACACATGCAAACGTGGATTATGAACAAGGATTTGATTCATTTGGCAAGCAATGACATCAGGACAGACACATTCACTTCCTACTAGCTACCTTGCTGATATTTCAGGCTGCTGTGTTCCTTTGTTTATATTTTTAGCTTTCTGCTTAATAAAATGTAAACTGATTCTACTCACCCAGAATACACACCAACATTGATTTAAAACTGCCACCTTGCCCAGAAATAACAGTAAATATAATTCTGTACTCTCCTCGAGAATGGCAAGGATACTGCATAAACTCAAAATACTTTCCATTGGATTTTAGACAGAAAACTGATTGGATCTTACAATTTTACATGTAGATTTTTAAATGTTTCATGTAGTTCCACCCTCTTATCTCTCACTCCTTCTTAGCACACACTCTTAGAATAGCATTTCTCCAACACTGTTCCCTCCCCTTCCTCTGCTTTCCAGTTTTCCTCTATATACAATAAGATATGGATTTCAGGCTCAGTGGTTCAGTACTTACCTAACTCTTTCAAATCCCCCCTCCCACACACACTTCACATACATCCTCCTATATGTACCTTCCTTCAGTCACCATCTTGACCTAAACACGTGACTGCAAGTGAAAGTCAACCTTAAACTTCACTTAGAAAGAATGAGACAGACTTTGGAGAGTATATTTTCCCGTGATCACCTGAGGGAACATAAGCCAAGATGGCAAACAGCCATTTAAAAGACACCACCAGTACAGCCCAATTATTGACCTCCTGGGGGATACACCCACTTTGGTCTCTGCTAAGCTCCCCAGCCCAACAGCAATGCCACTAGCTGGGCAAGCGTTCTCTGGAGACGGGGTAAATAGCTCTTACTCCAGCATGCACAGGGGACTGGGCACAAGCCAGTAGAGATCAATCTGACTCTGGTTACTGACTGAGAGCTTTACCAGTAGATAAAAGCACACAGGAAACAGACAACATATACAAACATGTTTCTAGAATAGCTTATCTTGCTCAATCTTGGAATCTTCAGCTACCACCAGGAAATCAGTTAGAAACAAGCGAATCGTCGCAATTTATTTTAAGGAAGATGCTGATATGCAGCAGGAAACAACAACTCCTGAAAAAAACTCACCATGTTTCTTGACCACGTCACATATATTAAACTGATGCCCTGCTTTGCAGTGGGAGAACACATCTTCAGGAGAACTATACAACCTGTAAATAACGAATTATTAAGTACACAGTATTAACATGTTTTGAAGCTGTAAGACCCCTAGGAGCTTTACACGCTCTGTTCTGACCTGCGAGGCAATGCTTTCACAGCACAGCATTTCTGCCTCTGAGAAAGGATGAACAGGCACCCGCGTATTCACACACCTCACAAAGCAGCGTTCACTTGGCTTGCAACACTTTTCGCAACTAAAGATAATACACCCAAAAACTTTAACAAAACCACGAACCCTGCTAACTTTCAAAAACTGCTTTAGAGCAAAACCAGCCTTAAACCCAGACCACAAAACCCGCACGCACACAAGGCGAGCGGGCCAGCCAGATCTGCTGCACCAAAACGAAAATCCTCCTCCGTTCGCGGACGATGGGAGGAGAGGACAGGGAAACCCAAGGGATGAACTCCCACACTGGAGGGGGCTCACCTGCTTCCAGCGCTGTTTCCCCCTCCTTCAGCCCGGACGCCACAGCCCCTCG